CATCCAGGGCCCAACAGAGCATCCATGCCATGATACCATGGTTCCATGGGGGTGGGGGTGGGGGGGGAGCATGATGACGTCCATGGTTTAATGCATTCTGAGCACAGAGCATCCAGGGCCCAGCACAGCATCCATGGCAACCATGATACCATGGTCTGATGCGTGCTTACTCCAAGGGGGGGCGGGGTGCGGGGGGAATGATAACGCCCATGGTCTAATGCATTCTGAGCACAAAACATGGAGGGCCCAACCATCATAATGTCCATGGTCTGATGCATTCTGACAAGACAGCATCCATGGCCCAACCATGATCGTCCATGTTCTATGTTTCGTTCCGAGATTTTAGCTCTGCCTGGCCCTTGTCCGCAATGTTCCTGGCAACCGTTCCCGAATCAGAGCTTCTGGTTTCCGAACGGTGAGTCTGGGTTCTGATTCAGCCGTTCTGGTTTCCGAATCCGTCGGTTTGGTTTCTGAACCAGCCGTTTCGGTTTCCCATTCAGCCACTCTGGTTTCCGAATCATGGCTGGTTTCTGATTCAGCCGTTCAGGTTACTGATTCAGTCGTTCTGGTTACAGCGACAGAGCCAAGTCGCATCATGTTTTTTTGAATCCCACCCCACACCGGGGGCAAGAACCCGGGGGGTCACATCACCGAGCGTCTACTTGCGGATTCGTGATCACGTTGATTCGGGATTGTTGAGGTTTGACTGCTGAAGCTGAATCTACAGCAATTTACATGGAGAATCGTTATTTCTGTATGGCTGGGTGCTTGCAAAGTCGAGCGCCTGCATGGGGAACGGCAGGTTTTGATTTGTCGTTTGATGCGATGTCGCTGATGTGTTTCTTGAGCTGGCGCTTGCGAAATCGAGCGTCTAAATCGGGAGTGGCGGTCTTGACGTGCTGCTCCCTGGAGTGCCCAACCCCAAAGACTACCGTGAGACTCCCTGGAGTGCAACCTGAAGCGCCGCTTACGCGCAGCTTACGCGAATGGGAAATTAGCTGGTTCTGCTTTGCCATGATTCCACCGATGTGTGTCTTGCTCTTGCCCGGGTGCTTCCCAAATGGGGCATCTACATGGGGAATGGCTGGCTTGGTTGTTCTGTGATGCCACTGATGTTTGCCTTGAGTGCGTGCTTGTGAAATCGAACGTCTACATGGGGAATAGCTGGTTCTGTTATGATTCCACCGACGTGTGTCTTGCGTGGGTGCTTCTGAAATCGGGCGTCTACATAGGGAATGGTTCGGTTACCATGCGTTTTTGTCTAATTGATGCAGCCTTGAGCTGACGCGGCGTTGACATGGGGAAAACCATGCTGACGTGACCATGATATGACCCCCTCACATCGCGCGCGTCCCCTTAGACAGTTCTGTTGCAACAAAACGTGATGTGACTTAGCTCTGCTGCTGTACCGATTTTTCTGCTGGCCACGCACTCCAGTGTCCCACAAAAAAAAATTTCGCCACATCATAACCGGCACCTTTGACGTGAAAGCCTGCAAAAGCTAGACGTGAAAGGCTGAAGGGAATTCAAGAGCAATGGACAGACAGTTACAAGCTTCAGACCACATCATGCAATTAAGCTGCAAATCTTGAGCCCCAAAGCCTTGTGGATCCCACAACACACGGTACTTTTCTCAGCAAAGGCGACCGCAAGCCGCCGTGATGGAGGTGCGGGCTTGGACTATGGGACTGTTCATGCGATGTTCACCCGGTACGCCTGCGCTTACATCCTAGATGGCTGCAGCTCTGATGAGCTTGTGCCATAGAGCGACGGCTCCCTACACTGTGTGCACTGCAAGCGCAGCCGCTGATGCCAGTGCGTCCAGTACCGAGACGCTTACACGCTGAGCTCACGACTCGCAGATGCGCGGGCCTCTAGGGTGTCCAGCAGGGTCGACTCGAAGGGCACGGTCGGCCTGGCATGGCACAGCAACAACCAAGAAAGGAAGTCAATGTCCAGGAGGTGAGCAAGCGTTTAGCTAAGTGAGTGCGATCAGCATAACATGACATACCTAGGGCCGGAAATTTTGGGAGATGTTGCACATGTCAGAACCCTAAAGTCTGATTAAGTGCAATCCCCGAGTTGACATAGAAACTGCACCGATTGCAAGCGTTGCTGGATGTTGCATAAGGTTGCCCGAGCTGGCATGAACATGTATGCAATGTATGAGGCGGCTACAGAGCGAAACCGCTGCCATCACCCAAGTACTTTTCAGCATGTTGTACCGCCCGGAATCTCATCTGGCAGAGCGAGTGCGAGTGCATGAGCCCTAAGCTTTGGGCACTTGATGTGGGGCTTAATCCGTGAAGCTGGGGATGGGCGCCGCTTAAACTTTGGAACACTTTCGAAGGAGAGCCAGCAAAGCCCTTTTCTACTGTTCCTCCTTTCCTACCAACCCTGAAATTCGGGCATTGTCCTAGTCAGGCGAGACGCAAACAATAGGGCCCTTGACCAGGGTGGCGGCTTCCCCGAGCTGCCCTTGGACTGCATTTTGCTGACCGCGGAACAGTGCCTGGGATTAATGCTCTCATTTCGCGTTTGGGGTTGGGGACCAATATTGAGTCTAAGTTCAGTGCTTGTAACACTGCTTTTGAAGAGCGTGGTGCCAGTGGTACGACTAGCAGCAGCAGCAGCAGCAGCAGCAGCAGCAGCAGTAGTCGTTACGCCACACACAGACGTGCACACACCCGCATGCGAAAACACACGCGCACACACACACACAGAGCAGGTGAGAGGCGACAAACGGGCAGACTTCCAATTGAAGCCGAAAAGACAACATTGTAAATTATCGGTGGCGGAGCCCCACGCCGCCGCGGTTTTGGAGCTTGGGAAGGGATTTCTGACGTTCCGGCTTTATGGGGTTGGCGCGGGAGAGGGGAGCCTGATTACGGATTGCGACCACGCATAGTGGCCTATGAGTTGTTCCTGGCCGCGCATCCTACTGTAGTCCGTGGCTGCGTCTGACACTGGCATGCCTGCTCGTGCTTTGCTATGACGGCCCCTGACTCAAGAGGCTTCCATGACTTCCTTCGGCTTTCTCTATACTGATGCGAATGATCACTTGTATGCTGCTTCCTACAGTATTTGGCATCATAATTTGGCTGGTAGTCTCTCGCCTGACCCGTTTACCACAAACGAGCGTGCTTGGGATGCGAAGCGCTTCATCCCAAAGGAAGTTTCTTCTAGGAGCATGGAAAATAATAGCCGTGCTGATCTCTTGGGCCACGTTTACTCCTGTCTGGGGAAAGGCGCAGCAGCCGTTGCTCGAAGAGCTCGGCAGACTTTGCTTTGGCAACTGAGTTGCTGCAGCGGGGTTCTGCAAGGCTTCTGGTTCATTTGTGCCCTCAGGTTGATGAGTATGCGGGCGCCATGTTCATGATAATCGTGCTGGCCTACATCAATCAACAAAGACCGGGTCTAAAAAATGTGGTTGAACATGTGGGAAAACAAGGAAATCCCATGAACATTTCATCGAACCACCTTTTTCGTCAACCAAGTTCTGCAGACAGGTGTAGGCCGTGGGCGCCCTGCCCCAGCAGGTCACCAGGCGCACCCTCAGTCCGAGCACATAGCCGTCTCCTCCGGCCGGCGTGCAGGATCGTGTAGGCTGAAGATCAAGCCCAAAAACTTCTGGCAGAAGGAAGGCATGCGAATCAGAGAAACGGCACGCTTGCGTGCAAGATCTTGACAGCCGGGGCCGGAGCCCGCCGTGCTCGATTTTCTACACACCAACCTGCTTTGTGAGGGCAGCGGCAGCTGCAGCACGGCGCCGCGCAGCTATATTTGCGTGGTGAGTCAGCACTCGCCCTTCTTCGGGAGCATCCAGGCAAGGAAAACAACGATGCCCAAGAAGGGCGAACCAAGCGTTCCAAATCTCCAGCTGGCAAGGACTTGCAGGAACCACGGCAGTTCTAACATCTGCGCGGCAGACGACCCCTCGCGTGGTCAGTCAAAAGCCGCACGGGGGCTCATGAGCGGCTGAAGCAGCCACGACGACAGCTGAGAGCTCTGCAGTGTTGACTCTGGTCTCAACATCCAGAGCACGGCTTCACACCTGAAAAACAGATGTGCTTCGCCAAGCAACTGCTCAAGCAGCTTGGCGGCTGGCGGAAGTCCGCGTTCTCCGGAGTGCATACAATGCTATGTGTAGCCAGCACAACTTCCTTTTGCACAAAGGGCTACCTCCTACAGGCTCCACAGCCCCGAAACCCACGCCCCGGAAGCAATTCAAGACATTAAAGCCATTAAAGCCACAAGTCGAAGAGTCAGAGTCGAAGGACGACAGAAGTAGATTCACTCAGTGAGAGTGAGACGTCCAGCGTGACGTGAGACACGCTTCTGGTAGTAAGTGCTCTTAGGATTCGCCTGGCTGCTACTTCCTCGCCGGCTGCGCAGGAGCCTGGAGTCGTTGTTTCATGGTGATCCCCTGCCTCAGCGAAGCAACTTTGGAAGGCTCCACTTCTGTATCCTGCGTATTGTCATTAAATGAGTCGGACCCCTCATGTTCGTCAGGCGGTACACCAACTCGTGTTCATGGGGCGGCGAAGGCGAAAATGCGGTTGCCTTACACATCGCAAAAGGACCCACTGCCTGCCAGCTGCTAGCCAAGCACCACAAGCCAGCAAGCACTACTCTCCATGCATGGCCCTGGCCGCGGTTATTCCTGAATAGACAACTCTGGTTCGGTGTCAGTCGGCTTGGATGCTCTCTGACTGTAAGTTCAGCTCGAAGGAGCCGTTTGAGACCAGGGTCAGCCCGGAATCTGTGCTGCAACTCGGTAGTGCGGCACAGTGTCAACCGTCTATGTTCATGGAATTTCGGGCTGAGGATGCTACGGCGTTGAACAGTGTCGGCTCTGTTTTTCAGGATGACGTGGGATTTCTGTATTAGGATGCTTCCGGAACCGTTGTTACCCCGAGGCCGAAACCGAGGCGCCGAGGCTTTGTGTTACTCAGACTCGTTGTGGATCCTGGCCTGCCTCTTAGGAGTTGCGATAGCCGAAACCGAGGCTCTACACGTACACTGGTGGAACGACGAAGTTCAGCAAATGCGTTGTAGTGCTGCAGCTTGGAGCATGTTGGAGCGCATTTCGGATGGTCTTCAGTGCCCATGGCCCATGGAAGTTTCAGTTTCGATTGAACAAAATTACACGGATGGCACATGATGGCACCATACTGAGACGGTGGGGCCCGGGAGCTTTCTGTTCGTTTGTGGGTCAGCATGGCATCGCAGCAGAAAGCCTACATTGGGCGCACGGCTTGCGCCAAAAGCGTAACATGCACTTACAAGAAAATTAGTGCAGCAAAGTCTCGGGCCACTGACTTTGGGTGACATGAATGAATCCTTATCTCAAAGCTTTAAGTTACTCTTAGTTCCAGGTATCACCAAGTGCGTTTACATTATGCACTGTGAACCATTGTGAACCCAAGGGTGTTCCTGCTTGAGGAGTAGCTTTGCTGAGTTCATTGTGATAGCTCAATCGGGATCTTGAGGAGTTTGAGCTCGTTCCAGACAGTCGCCTGGGAATTGGTCAAAGCTCCCCTACAAGCTGGTCTTGCAGCAGAAGTTTGCTACATTCTAGATCGCTAGTTAAAGCTTTGGGGCGCACCTGGTCGAAGCGAAAGCTTCAAGTCAGCCCCAGGAATGCCATGGCGCTCTGGGAGATTGCGAACTATCACACCGCACCTCTGATGGGAGTTCATTACATGTTTCATCGTAATTTTGTTTTAATCTTGTCTTTTGCAGTACCTCTCCTCAAAGCCTCAAAGCCGCGATATGTTTCAGGAGTTGTAGCTCTGGAAGCGTTGTTTTGATGTACTGGGATTATCCAGCGAGAAATCGTTGAATCTCGTTGTCTGGATACTGTAGGGGGGTGCAGTTCTCCCCCAAACTGTTATATATGCGTGGCCGAATATACACTGAACTCGGTTCATGCAGTCGCAGATGTGGCGCTTATAGCTTCTACCCTGATTCTGCGCAGAAGCTGCAAGATCATATGCGCCCAATAAACAGCCGGCCCCTTAGGGTGGGCTGAAGATTTCAGACGCAAGGGCTGCCCGTATTGGGGAAGGTTCACACCCGGGCCCACCCGTCACTAGTTTTTGCTTACAGATCGCGTATAACACGCATCATACTTTTACTTGCGCCAAGCCTGAATAAAACTATTTAGGCCTCTTTTCGAACTCTTTGCTATGATGGTGATGGTGGAGAGCATGAATGATCATGATCATCGCTTGTCCGGTTTAGTCTTAATCGTGCTACTCTGACTTGCAGTGTTGGTGATGCCGATGTTGATGTTTCTCTGCTGTTCGCCAAGCTTGCAAAGATGTCTCTTACTTCTCTGCTACTGTCAAGCGTGACTTGAGAGAAGCAGACCACAAGCTCAGGTGATGCAAGGACGCATGTCCAGTGCGGATCGTGCTGCTCTGGCTGAACATCCCAAAACCGGGACGCCAACGAAGATGCAAGGCCTTCAAGAAGCCACGCAAAACCAATCTCAGAGCCTTCAAACGCCAAGGCGACAAGCCCTTAAGACTGTCTATGCCCCCGCAGAACCCCAAGATGAGCCTTGAAGTTATGGACTTCTGGGGAGTTCATTCCACTCCTCTTACTTGGGTTAAACGTCTGTGTGGAGTGCTTAGGGTGACAGGATGTGACAGGTACGGTTATGGGGCTTAAAAGCTTTCTAGCATTAATTCTCTAGTTTTCATGGATGATCGCAGGCTTTAAACAGCTTGGAGTCTAGAGCACCGTTGCGCACTTTAGAGTCCGTGCAGACAGTGCAGCTTTGTACTTTGCCCGTGTGAAAGTGCTACAAGTAGGAGTCCCCGCAAGACATTCTTGTAGCCTGGGTCCCTTTGTGGGAGGGCAAAGCCAGGGCAGAGTCTGAAGCTTCGGCTTCAATGCCGAACCTATAAGCAGTATAAGCAGCCAAGATCCCAGGTGTAGAGGTGCTCTTAGTAGGCTGTCAGGGATTGGAGTTTGCAGGTGTTCGGCATTCGCAGAAGAAAGCTGGCCACATCCTTCGGGAGCTGAGCATTTGTCGAAGATCCCGAATGTCGCCGAGAAGCGCAGATCAGCTCCCCCAAGATTCGCGACAACCTTCGACCCTAAGCAAAACTCCGGCCTCCGAGGTGCTGCAGTTTACCTCGGCCTACTGGGGCGCGGCTGCCTTTGGTCAGAGACGAAGCTGCAAGCGACGAAGTGTGTATTGCATCGCTTTCCACTTTGAAACTAGCTAGGCGGGAAACCCCTACTTACTAGCGAAAAGCTCGCAGACTGGAATCAGGAACTAATTCGCCGGATCAGTGCTGGCTGTGCTTGCTAGTTGAGCATTCCATACAGCAGTAATAGTAGCAGTAGTCGTGGCCGTCGTAGCCGTAGTAGTAAGTCGTAGTAGCAGCAGCAGCAGCTGCAGCAGCAGCAGGAGTAGTAGATTGGTTGATGTGGTTTGTTGACATGCCGTAGTCATGGATGCCGTCGATTCCCAGCTGATGCAGGCTTTGAGTCTGGGTTCGAAAAGTATAATTATTATAGTAGTAGTAGTAGTCGTCGTCGTCGTCGTCGTCGTCGTCATCGTCATCGTCGTCGTCGTCGTTGTAGTAGTTGTAGTAGTTGTAGTAGTAGTAGTAGTAGCAGTAGTAGTAGTAGTAGTAGTTGTTGTTGTTGTTGTTGTAGTGGTAGTCGTAGTAGTCGTAGTAGTCGTAGTACTAGCAGTAGCAGCAGTAGTAGTAGTAGCAGTAGTAGTAGGTAGTATGTAGTAGAAGCAGCACCATGTGTGTCATAGGAGTAAATATCGAAAGCAGACACATACTGTACATATTAGTAGGGCAGGGGCTTCCCGTGGGGGTGCGTGGGATGTGTCTTCGCCGGTGAAAACCTTCGAAAGTGTGCCTGGTGAAGTTGGTATGACCTTGTGTTTCAGGTCGTTAAGGTGCCCAGGTCCACATGGAAAGTAAAGTTTTCAGAGAGCTAAAGCTCAACAAGCAAGGACCAGGACATCACGGCCCTGAGACAAAGCAGTGCAAGTCCAAAGCACAGCAAAAACACAGCGTCCAGTAGAGGTGGCAGTGGTGGTGGTAGTAGTAGTAGTAGTAGTAGTAGTGGTAGTCGCAGTAGTAGTAGTAGTAGTAGTAGTCGTCGTCGTCGTCGCCGTCGTGGTGGTGGTGGTCGTAGCAGTCGTGCTGGTAGTGGTAGTAGTAGGCGTAGTAGTAGCAATAGCAGTAGCAGCAGTAGTAGCAGTAGTAGTACCAACAATACTAGTAGCTGTAGTAGTAGTAGTAGTAGTAGTAGTAGTAGTAGCAGTAGTGGTGGCCGTAGAGGTAGTAGTCGTCGCAGGCGTAGTCGTAGAAGTAGTAGTAGACCAGCAACAGTAGGTCGTGGTTGCGGTTCTGGTTGTTGGGGTCGTCGGTAGCGGTGCCGATGCACCTGCTGCTGCCGCCGGAGCAGAAGCCAGCCCACAAGCGGGACGGTGGCCAGACTCAGGATTGACATTGCTTTGGCCTTCGGAGCGTGCGTCGTTTTCGTCCCGACCGAACCCGGTGCCAAAGGATACTCGGAGCTTGGGAAGTGCTTGCTTGCGGACTGTTGTAGATTCGGACCACGTACGGAATTGTGGTTTGTGTTTAAGTTGGGATCTCAAATCCGTCTAGTTCCCAACGCCTACCCGCACCAACATGCAGATGATGTTACCTGAAGCCTAGTTTCCCTCAGCCTCAAACCCTCTTTGCTGGTTTGAAGAGTCGGTTGGATTCCTTTCATTTTCCTCTGGAAGTTGTGTTTACGGTTGGATGTTTGGTTCGGCCTGGGGTCAGGGGCTCGGAACTGTCGGAGCCGTTCACAGAGCCTTAAACGAGGATTGGCTGCAGCAGTGGAAAGATACCGAATCTCGGTTCTTGGCACTGTGGCTTGGATGAACTTCGGAAATCGAGTCAGAGAGGACTCGAACAGAGGCCCCAAATACCGGCATAGTAAGCCCTTTAAGTCATGCATGCCGACATTGTCACCAGAAAGCTCTGAGGTTCAGGGCGATTCACCATGGAACGACAACCAGACCGACCGATTCAAACCAGGGGTGCAGCTTTTAGAGAACTTCCAACAGGGCCCGTGTTTTGCGTGAACTGGCCGTGCTTACCCTTCTCCTTGTCCTAGAACCAGCGCCCTAGGTGTTCTGCTGGCCTGTTGAATGTTCCCTCCAATAGACAAGGCTGTGATCTTGTTCTGGCTTCAGGCAAAGGTATACATACTGTACAGAGTATCGCGGAGCATGTGTTGCTTGGCAACCCCATGCTGCGACGGGGGTGCTCGAGCCTGTGGCGCCTGAAGTCGCCCTGCAGCCCCAAAGCAAGGTCCCATCCTTACTGCGGGCCACATATCCAGGAGGCGCTGGCGATGTGGGATCTCGGCTCTTCAGCGTTCTGGGCCCAGGAATTCGGGCTTAAGGTTCAAGGCGGGCTGCATGAATCGTATGCAGTCGGTACACTACCTGGGATCTTTTCGGGTTCGAAGCACTTTGCACTGTCAGCACCTGTGGAGAGCGCAGACCTGCTGTGACAAAACCCACAACTCTCCAAGTCTGACTGCTCGGTTCTAGGCCAGCTGAAGCTTGTCCTCAAATTGACAGTCAATCGTTAGGCCTTGAACTGGGCTGACTGCCGAGATGCCGTCCCCATTTTTCCAAAGACCGTTGAGGAATGAATTGCTCGGAAAGGCAGTTTAGTCGCCTTACCCCAGTCTTGTACGCACAAGCAGTCTTGCGTAGATTCCGCACAGACAGAAGCGGGGCATTTTCAAGCATCGGTTCCCAACATACTTGTGGGGAACATAGCTTCCCTCGGACAGGCCCGGCTTCTGCACCATCCAGCTTGCGGGTGATCATCACTTGGGGGGAGGCGCGCATTGAACTTTCCTAAGCCCCGCACCAAGACCACGATGATAATTATGCCCCCGATAGCCAAGAAAGCTTTGCCCTAGAGTCGAGCCCTGTGGACGGTTTGTTGTGGCTGATGGGCAGGCTGAGAGTCGCGATTTCCGGTATCTAGGCCATGCAGAAGCAAAGCCGCTCCGCAAAGCTTGGCTGCGGACTCCAAGATGGGGACCGGGATGTGAGGCAGCCGGACGTGGCCTTGGAGACGCCGACACTACGAGCTGAATAGCGGGCACATGACATGACAACAGCTTGAAGTCCAAAGTCACTAGCCGCATCCCCTAGAATATTCTGTAGATCCGAAGTGCTGTTCTTCTGGCAGGTTCTGGATTTGGCTGCCTTTTGAAGGTTCCGAGTATTCGCACAGGTGTCCGAGTTCCCTTTAACGCACCAAATGTAAAGGCGTTGAATTCCCTACACTTGTATGCAGGCATTGTACCGTATGACTGCTTCTTATCCAGAAACCTATACATGAATGGTATGTTAGATTTGTTAACTGTTGCGTAGCCTTTTGCAAGAACGACCCCCCATTTTAGTGCCAGGGGCTCAGGGCTTCAGGTTTGCCCCGGCGCCTGATGGAGACAGCTACGAAAACCTACACCCTAAACAGAGGAGGGTAGAGGCTCTGTAGACTCAGGCTTGGGGCTTGGCTGTTTACGGCGTAGGCTTAGGGTCTTCAGCTCCCTACTGGTAAAGTGTCAATCCAAAACTCCCCATCACCCTAAAACGTCCCTACAAAGGAATGCTGTAGGAATGCTTCGCTTTGAAGTTTACTTCGAAATTCCGACTAAACCTTAACACCCACAGCTCGAAGCTCACAGCTCAAATTCGAGCGAGTTAGAGAGTCACAGTCGAAGCGCCAAGAGCCGAGACCTTAATCCGAGGCAGCACTGAGACCGCGCATCTTGATCCCGAAGCATCGTGTCAAGCCCTGCAGCCCTTTCGCCCCTTCTGTGTTCGGAGGCCCTTCCGGTCAAGGTCAGCAGGATTTGGACGAAGGCACCATGCAGCTCTACGATGTGTTGTTGGAGCGTTTGTACTAGGACATGCATGGGCTTTGATTCGGATTTCGGGTTCTCAACCTACCCCTTGATTTCCAGCCTCATCTTCAAGTGTTGTGGTATGCCGGCTTCTAACCGGGCGCATGCTTGATTCGTGTGATGGGGTTCTCAGCGTTTCGTAGTTTATTCATGCCGTAGTTCGTCGAGGTCCCACAGCTGTTGTTGAGCCCTGTGGTCGTCCTGATACCTGAGTTTAGGCTAAGTGCTCGTCTCCTGCATTTGCACCCTGCCATGTGGCTCCCAGCCCCAGGCTCTTTGCAATGCGGGAGAAACAAGCTACGAAGCTCCAACCTACCAGCTTGCAACTAACTGACAAATGCAACGGAGAGCTGCTACAAAGAATTGAAAGGCTTTCGGACTTGGGTTCGCATCGGGCTGAGGATGACAGAGGCTTGGAATCTGGCTTGTGAATCAGGGCCGTTCGGCTCGGAGGATCTGGGAGTCTAGGATGCTTTCAGCTTCTATTGTGTTAACAGACGGGTTCTGTGAGAGGCTCCTTTTGCCTCCAATGCCTCGCACAAGTTGAGCTGTAGCTATAGCTCAATTCGAGACGTTCCTGGCCTGTTAACTTAAGTGTCCATCACCGGCTTCCAGGTAACAAGTCCACCCGTCAAGGTAACAAGTCCATCCGCGACGTACCGTAGTTCCAACATGTGCCATAAGCCTTGAATACTTCCATGCGCGGCAGACACCTGAGTCTGCCGGAGAATCATGCCCCTGAAAGACAAAGCACGGCTAGCGCCCCGCAGCTGGGCAGCTTACCTGTTCTCCTTCCGGCAAGGCATGCTACGTAGTGGATCTCCTGATTGCCAGTGACCTGACTCCACTTAGTAGTAAGCAAACCCCACACAAGGTGAATGGCAATGGTAAGAGGATTGACGATTTTGGTTTCATTTGGCGCTCTTGAACCGTGTGCACTGTTTAGCTTTGGTAGCTTTCTGGGTCTTTGCCTTTGGGGGGCGGTCGCTCCGATGAAGTGTACGCAGGATCCCGAGACCCGGCGATGGGGAAAAACCCGCCACAGATGCAGCAGAAGAATCATTCTCACACTGCTATATTGTGGATGTCACTAATGTCAGATACCGATTAACAAACCCTCCCCGATTAGACGGGTCCATCCCGAAAATTCGAAGCCGCTAATGAACACTTCCTTTGGAACCCCCTCCATTAACACCGGAGCCCAAAAAACCCCCCCCCGATTAGACAGGA